GGAAAGGGTGAACTCCATCTTTGGCTGACGGACAATACGCACATTGCTGATATTGGGCCGGTGTCCGGCAACGATGACGTTACCGCCAGCTCCCTGCTGTACAAAAGTGCTGGAAGTGGTGATAATAATAATGAGAAGTTGGTTGCACTGTACGAGAAGAAGGGCGATGGGAAACCATCACTCGGCATGGTCTCTGTGCGTCTGACTGCGCAGCTGAAGCGGGTGAGGGAGGTGCTGGCGACCTGGAAGGAAGTGGACGACCGTGTCTCCAAGCTGTGCCCTTCAACTGCTGCGAGGAATCCCTCAACTGGCAATGACTGCAGCGCTGGTAAGATCACGGATGGGCTGGTTGGCTTTTTGTCCAAAAACTTCTCTGGTGGCACATGGAGTGACGAGTACCTCGGGGTGAACGCCACAGTAAAGAAAGGAACGAATGGGGTGGCAACAGGGTATGCGGATGGAGTGACGTTCCGGGGAGCGTGGGCTGAGTGGCCCGTTGGCAGTCAGGGGGAGAATCAGCTGTACCACTTTGCGAACCACAACTTCACTCTTGTGGCGACGGTGTCCGTCCACGGTGAGCCGAAGGGAGATACCCCCATTCCATTGATGGGTGCGACGATGAATGACAAGAATACTGTGCTCCTGGGACTGTCGTACAACAAAGAGGGGAAGTGGCAGGTGCTGTGCGGTGGCAAAACGACCAAGGAGCTCCGCAGTAATTCGGAGCCAGGGACAACACACCAAGTGGCCATTGTGCTACGGAACGGAGAACAGGGCTCCGCGTACGTCGATGGTCAGCGTGTGGGAGATGCGTCATGTACATTGAAAAATGCGGATTCGAAAGGAATCTCACACTTCTACATTGGAGGGGATGGAGGCAGCACAGGGAGGAAGGAAGACGTGCCTGTGACCGCGACGAATGTCCTGCTGTACAACCGCCCGTTGGATGACAATGAGATCCGCGTCCTCAACGCAAACAAAATTTCTATTCCAAAGCTGACGGATCTGAGAACAGTGGCGGCAGGAGCAACGGGTGTCGGTACCGCTCGCCACTTTGGGGCAAATGGTGATGGCAGCGCTGTTTGCGGAGGCGGACTGCTGCCGCTGTTCCTTCTGCTGGGACTGTGGGGGATTGCCGCTTCTTGAGGAGTGTGTGGCCTCGGCGTGGAACGCCTCAGCACCGAATTACTTCCCCATGGGAACAAATTTCACTCATAAATCTTTTTTTTTGCGTATTTTAAATTTATTTTCCTGTTTGCTTCTTTTTGGCTGATTTTACTTTTTTTTTTTAGTTTTGCGTTTTTTTATTATCTCCCATCCCGCCATCCCTTTTTTTTTGCTTTTGGGGGCAATCACTGTGGACGGTTTTTTTTTCTACTCTTCCCTCTTTAATTGTTTCTTCTGCACTCTTCCTGTGAGGGGTGCCGTGTGTTTCCCGCCCAACTGCTCCACTCGCACACCCACCGACACGCACATGACGACGGCCCTGTGCGCCTCGCCTGCTGCACGCATGAGGAGGGGCGGCGACGA